ATGGTGGGTGCAGCTGTCTCATTCCAAAGCATTCTTGTTGCCCTGCAAACACCACAATACACCTCATACCAATTACCAGTCATTTCTTATTTTCCTCCTACCCCCTCTAGTCTCTGTCAAGCACTAATCTACTTGTTGCCCCTATATAGATTTATAGCAGTTTTAAAATTAAAAAATAGCATGTATATATAGAAATATCTCTAAATCATAAGTTTACAGCTTGATAACTTTTCCAAAACTAAATATAGTGTTGCAACCAGCACCCAGCTCAAGAAATAGTATGTTAGCAGACCCCAATAAGCCCCCAGCCTGCTCACTTTTAGTCATTAACCCTCCCTGCCCCAGAGCACTACCATCCTGATTTCCAAAAAAAAAACAGGATTAGTTTTGCCTGTTTTTATACTTTATACAAACTGTATTATTAAGCATAAATATGTTTGTTTGTGTCACCATTACATTTGAAAGATTTGCTCATTGTTTTTGTAGCTATAGAGAGTTCTGCATTGCTACGAATTATTTCACTATCTGTTGTAGTTGTTAGGTGCCTTCCAGCGGTTCCTACTGATAGTGACCCTATGCACAACAGAACAAAACTCTGCCCAGTCTGGTGCCATCCTTCCAACCTTAGCCTTGTTTGAGTCCAGCATCACAGCTACCTTGTCAGTCCATCATTGCTTACTTTCATGCTCCAGAGACTGGTCCCTCCTGAAAACTTGTCCAAATATGTGAGACGAAGTCTTAAACCATCCTCAACTTCTAAGGAGCATTCTGGCTGTACTTCTTCCAAGACACATTTTGAAAATCCATGGTGTATTCAGTATTCTTCGCCAACATCACAATACTATGTCCATCTTCGGTGTTCATTGTCCAGCTTTCACATGCATATCAGGTGATTGATGATACCATGGCTTAAGTTAGACACACCTTACTTTTCAAAATGATAGCTTTACTTTTTAGCTCTTTAGAGAGATCTTTTATAGCAGATTTGACCAATGCAATGTCACTTGACTGCTGCTTCCATGGGTGTGGATTGTGGATCCAAGTAAGATGAAATGCCTGACAGTTTCAGTCTTTTCTCCATTTATCCTGATGTCCATTGTTCCAGCTGTATTTTAATTTTCTGTAATTGAGCTGTAATCCATATTGAAGACTGTATTCTTTGTTCTTCATCAGTAAGTAATTCAAGTTTTCTTCAGTTTCTGTCAACTGTATATTGCAGCTCATTAATGAGTCTACCTCCAATCCTGATGCCACATTCTTCTTCATATAATCCAACTTCTTGGACTCTTTGCTCAGCATACAGGTTGAATAAATATGGTGAAAGAATACAACCCTGACTTACACCTTTCCTGATTTTAAACCATGCAGAATTCCCTTATAGAATCTCCAGCTTCACCTTGACTGCCTCTTGGTCTGTGTACAGGTTCCTCATGAACACAATTAAGTGTTCTAGGATTCCTGTTTTGCTTAATGTGGTCTGCAATCAAATCCCTTTTACATAGTCAATAAAACAAAAGTAATAAAAGGGTAAGTCAGAAAGTATTGCTAAATAAGATTCCAGTTCATACATGCACAGATTTATTCAGAACAAAACATGTTTAAACACCTCTGTGCTATCAGTGGGTGACTATAGGCAAGTTCTCTCAGGAATATACCTGTCCTAGTCCTGGTGTGGCGCTGTGGGTTAATGCACCAGACTGCAAAGCTGTTTGAACTGTGAGGTCGGTGGTTCAAGCTCACCAGCTGCTCCTTGAAACCGTATACAGGGTTGCTATGGGTCAGAATTGACTTGACGACGGCACTTAACAACAACAGTCTCATTAGGGGGTCTTCAAAACAAAGGTCCAGTTAAAACAGTGGCTTCTGAGAGGATCTGCTGGGCCAGTTCAAGACAGAGAGGTTACTCAGAAGGTTATGGTGGCTGTTTTTTTGGGGGGGAGATCCCAAGGGGATAATCTTGATATATTTTCTCAAAGGACACAGGATGATCATAAGGAAGTTTTTAAAAGATTGAAAATTCCCTTGATGAGAAAAGGCGTGGAAAGTCGCACTAGGGAGTTATTTTGTCATCCCAACAATACGTCATCCCAACAATGCACCTGCTTTGGGGTAGCAGGGACTGTCCTGGGAGAACTTTTTTAAGAGACTGTGTCCCATCCACTCTACAGCCCTGATCTTGCCCCTTCAGAGTCCTTTTTGTTCCCCAAACTCAAACAACTTTTCAAAGGAGTCCCTTAAGGATACCAAAACTGCCATTTTGACATGATATAAGTCAAAGAGTATAGAATTCTTCAGGGAAGGGTTGGCAAGATAGAAGCACCCCTTGAGAAGTGTAGAGACCTAGATGGCAACTGTGTTGAGAAAGAACTTCACATTTTGATATGTTTTGTTTAATAAAGGTTTTTATGATTAATAAAGGTTTGTTTCTTAAAGGTTTCTAATGATAAAGGTATATTTGATATACCATCATGAGTCTTGGTGTGGCACTGTAGGATAAGCATTAGACTACTAACCAAAAGGTCAGCAGTTCAAACCCACCAGCCACTTACTTCTCAGGAAGCCTATACAGTGTTGTTATGAATTAGAACTGAATTGATGGCACTTAACAACAACAACTGCTTGCTGAAAGTGAAGAGTACTTGAATCATTTACTTATGAAGATCAAAGAGCACAGCCTTCGATATGGATTACATCTCAATGTCAAGAAAACAAAAATCCTCACCACTGGACCAATAAACAACATTCTTATCAATGGAGAAAAGATTGAAGTTGTCAAGGACTTCATTCTTCTTGGATCAACTATCAACACTCGCGGAAGCAGCAGTCAAGAGATCAGACGACGTATTGCATTGGGCAAATCTGCTGCACAGGAACTTTTTAAAGTATTGAAGAGCAAAGATGTCAGCTTGAGGACTAAGGTGCGCCTGACCCAAACCATGGTATTTTCAATAGCCTCATATGGATGTGAAAGCTGGACAGTGAATAAGGAAGATCGTAGAAGAATTGATGCCTTTGAGTTGTGGTGTTGGAGGAGAATACTGAAAGTGCCACGGACTGCCAAAAGAACCAATAGATCTGTTTTGGAAGAAGTGCAGCCAGAATGCTCCTTGGAGGCCAGGATGGCTAAGCTTCGTCTCTCATACTTTGGACATATTGTCAGGAGGAAACAGTCGCTGGAGAAGGATGTCATGCTGGGTAAGGTGGAGGGTCAGAGAAAAAGAGGAAGACCCCTAACGAGATGGATTGGACAGGTGGCATCATTGATGGACTCAAGTGCGGCAGCAGCAGTGAGGTTGGCCCAGGATCGGACATTGTTTCCTTCTGCTGTGCATGGGGTCGCTATGAGTCGGTTCCGACTCAGTGGCACCTGACAACAACAACAACATATGTCACTATATGAGTGTACCAATTTACTCATTTGTTACATAACCCATGGTTACTTGGGCAGTTTCTACTTTAAGCCTATTGGAAGGTTCTGCTGTGGACATTCTAGTATGTATGTTTATAGCTTTGAGCATATTATTTTCGTATGTTTATACCCTTGGACATATGCCTAAGAGTTACCCAGTGGTTGTCCAAAGTGATTATTATCCAGTTTACTTGCCCATCAGCAGTGTCAGAAAGCTCTACTTGAGTCACTTCCTAGCCAACTCTTACAGCTTCCTGCCTCTTTCATTTGAACTATTCTGGTGATAAATTGTGATTTAAAATTTTGTCTTTTCCTGGAGATTAACAAAGTTGAACACCTTTTTGTGTATTCATTGGATACTTCTCTATGAAGTCTGTTCAAGTGTTTTGCCCATTTTCCTAGTAGGTTTTCTTTTTCTTACTGATTTGTAGGTGTTCATCATATACTCTGGATCTGAGTCATTTATCAAATATATATAATACAAATATTTTCTTTCACTTTGTGGTTTGCCCAACATAAATTTTAATAACAAGAGGAATTGAAACAGCTTCTTTGTCCAGGTGAAGGGAAATGTTTCAATAAAATACTATGAAAATGCACATGTACTCAAATGTTGAAGTGGCAAATGTTGTCTTATATACAGTTTTACAGCAATTTTTTTTGAAGTGCGTATGTACTCATAAGGAGCCCTGGTGGCATAGTGGGTTACCCATTGGGCTGCTAACAACAAGGTCAGCAGTTTGAATCCACTAGCCGCTCCATGGGAGAAAGAGGAAGCTTTCTGCTCCCGTAAAGATTTGCAGCCTTGGAAGCCCTCTGTAGGATAGGGTTGCTGTGAATCGGAACTCATTTCATTTAATATGGTAGCGTAGTGGTTACGAATCGGGCTGCGAACCTTAAGGTCAGCGGTTCGAAACTACCAGCCGCTCCGCGGGAGAAAGATGAGGCTTTCTACTCCTGTAAAGATTTACACCCTTGGAAACCCTGTACAGGGTCACTATGGGTTGGAACCGACTCAAAGGCACTTAACAACAACAACAAGACATATTAAATGAAAACTACAAGGTGCTTCATTTGTACATACTTTTTAAATGTAAAATTCTAGAAGAATAACAAAGGGGCTTCAAAAAGTTCATGTAAAAATGGAATTAAAAGGTAATAGAATTTTTCAACCAACTTTTTGAAGCCTTCTTATACTTAATTGACTGCTATTCCTCATTGCCTCTGGAGGTGAGCTGCCTGTTTGGGAAGACAAGCTTGCTTCTGCCTGTGAACCTTTCCAAGCTACCTGAGGTTTTACTCTGTACCTGTTAGATAGGTAGCACTGGTGGCCCAATTGCTGGCAGTTCGAGCCCACTCCACAGCTCCTCAGTAGAAAGACCTGGCAATCTATATCTATAAAAATCCCAGTCTAGCAAACCTTGTGGGGAAGTTCCAATCTGTCGCATGGGGTCCCTGTGAGTTAAAATTAACTTGTCAGCAGTGTGTTAGATATTTTTCGTTTTAAAAAATATCATTAAAAATAAAGGTATACAATTGATATGAATAAAATGGGGTGTTTGGTAATCATATATACTTTTCCCCCCTGCAGCTTTCTAGATGAGACCACCTATGAAAGACTGGCAGAGGAGACGTTGTATTCCCTTGCAGAGTTTTTTGAAGACCTTGCAGACAAACCTTACACGTTTGAAGACTATGATGTCTCGTTTGGGGTACCTCTTGCCTTCTTTTCATTTTTCTTTCTCCTCCATAAGAATTTTGACTCACTAAAATACAGAAAAGGTGGTGCAGTGGGTTAAGCACCAGGTTGTTAACCAGAAAATCAGCAGGAGAAAGATCTGAGGTCTGCTTTGATAAAGATTCACAGCCCTGGAAACCCTCGGGAGGGAGCAGTTCTACTCTACCTTGTCGTTTGCTGTGAGTTGGGATCCATATGATGACAGTGGGTTTGGGTGTTCTTCAGGTAAATTAAAGATTTCCCTCCAGCAGAGTTAAGAAGCAAAGGGTCATGTTGTTGTTAGGTGCCATTGAATCAGCACCTACTCATAGCGCCCCTATGTACAGCAGAACGAAACACTGCCTGATCCTGGGCCAACCTCACTACTGTTGCCACTCTTGAGCCCATTGATGCTGCCACTTTGCCAGTCTGTCTCGCTGGGGGTCTTCCTCTTTTTCTCTGACCCTCCACCTTACCAAACATGATATCCTTTTCCAGCAACTGGTCCCTCCTGACAATATGTCCAAAGTATGAGAGACAAAGTTTGGCCCTCCTGACCTCTAAGGAGCACTCAGGCTGCACTTCTACCAACACAGATCTGTTGCTTCTTTTGGCAGCCCATGGTACTTTCGGTATTCTCCTCCAACACCATAACTGAAAGGCATCAGTTTTTCTGTGGTCTTCCTTATTTACTGTGCAGCTTTCACATGCATATGAGGTTATTGAAAATACTTGGCTTGGGTCAGGCGCACCTTAGTCCTCAAGCTGACATCTTTGCTCTTCAACACTTTAAAAAGGGCTTGTGCAGCAGATTTACCTAATGCAATATGTCGTTTGATTTCTTGACTTCTGCTTCCATGAGTGTTAATGGTTGGTCCAAAAAAAATGAAGTCTTTGCCACAAAGTCAGCAGCTCAAATCCACCAGCCACTCTGTGGAAGATAGAGGTTTTTGTGTGGTGCTGAAGGATGGATACTGGACTGCTAACTGCAAGGTTGGTAGTTCAGACCCACCAGCCACTTCTCAGAAACTCTATGCAGGGTTGCTATGAGTCGTAATCGACTCCACGGCACACAACAATTTTTTTTTTTTTTTTTTTTTTTTTGCAGACTTGGAAACCATATATGAGTCAGAATCGATTTGCTGGTAGTGGGTTTTGTTTTATGGGGAATGTGGCCTGGGCATTGGTGTTTTAAAACACCAGGTGAATCTAATGTGCACCTGGGGTGAGAACCTCCCTGGTGTGCTTGATAAAACCAGATGGAGCTCCTGCAAGCCAAGAAAATGGTGGTCTGTATCAACTGACCACAAGGTGGCAGGCTTGAGCAAGCAAGCATCCACCTTTGGACTTGGGCCTTAGACCAGCTCCTTTTTTTTCCCAGTGGGAGAGAACCCCCTGCTGAGGTTAATCCTCTTGACAGCAATGAATTCATACCAGGAAATGGCATCAAATGTACGTTTTGTATGAAATCATAGATTTATGTATGACAGTCAGACCAAGGTGATGTAAATGGCATTACGGATATTGTTTTTAGAGCCTGTATAGAGAAGGGACTCCGTCAAATGTAGCAGATATTGGAGAAGTTGCTAAGACTGGTTTTATGGACAGTGAAGGACTCGGTGGTAAAAATAGCGGCAGAGAAGCAGGAAAAAACTGGAATGCCTTCCAGGTAGATGAAATCGTTATTGTCCACTGCAAAAAAATGGAGTAGTGTTGGAGTGGAACTTTTTTGTTTTCTTTTTTTTTTTTTTTTTACTGTATTTATCATTAGCTGACTTTTGCAACTTAGTGACTTCATATAGGGGAAGAAGGACATGATTTTAATATATATCTGATTTTGACTTACCAGCACTTCTTTTGCAAAAGTACTTTTTTTTTTTTTTGGTACGTTTTTATTGTGAGGTTTACATGGAAGAATATCAGTTTTACATTCATCCTGTTGTGTTTCATTTCATTGCAATGATGACAATCGCCCCATGTATCATCAAATAACCACAACGTACACCCCCCCCAGCCACCAGCACACAGGCCCTCACCCTCCCTGAGCTCAGTGTCCCCACTGCTGTATCTGTCCACATCACCGTCTCTACATCCCTGGCATCTCTGCCTCTCTGGCTAGGGTCCCGCTCTCTGCTCTTCTCACCTGATGGTCCCAGGGACTTCCGCTCCTGGGCTGCAAAATCAGTCTCTCCCCTCCTTTTTTCAAAAAACATCTACCTCTGTATTTCCTACCCTCACAGTCAGTCCTGATGGCAGTTATTCACTACTGTACCATAAGAATCTTATCCCCATTTCCTTTCGCCAGCCTGGTCCCAACTTTTATTTTTAACTTGGCAAGGATGGAGTCCAGAATCATTACGGGCAGGCAGGTTCTCAGCATTGGAGGATTCAAAACTCTGGTGAGAGGATTTCTGATCATCATAGGGGAATGTCTGCTCATCCCATGTCTCTTTCCACTGGCTGTTAAAACACCAAAATGGATAGTTGAAGCCAGGGTAGAAAAGAAAACTACATCCTGCACACTCTGGCAGCGTATTTATCAGCCCATGCCCACTGACCTAAAAAAATATCATCTAGTAAAGTGAGGCCCACTAGTTCGCTGTCTAGCTACATGGGTCTCAAAGGGGGGAATGAGGCAGGCAGGCCTGTAGAAATAGGCGCTCAGGCTTATAGCTCATATGCCCCCAAGCCTCATAGCTCATTCCCGGAGCAAGATTCACATTCCAGGAAATAAGCAACAGACCACCTCAGCCTCATGTGATTATCCAGGCTAATCTCCTGTTCCTCATCTGCCTCTGGGAGGGAACAGAGCCTTGAGCCAATGTTCACCTGCTTCTGCTTCTGAAACTGCTTGCTTGTATGTTGGTACATCCTTCCTCACCATATGTTTGAACCAACCAATCCCAGGTAGCCCCGTGAAGCTGTTGGCCCCCCACTAACCAATCCCAAATGAACTCATATATGCACCCTCTGTTCCCTATAAAACGTCCTCACACAGGGAAGATGGGGCTCAGCCTTTGGATATGAATACACTGAGCCACGTGCTAGCACAATAAAGCCCTTCCTTTGTTTAAAAAAAAAAGTGTATTTTTAACAAAGTAACCACCAACTGGGTAAAAGTGTAATCAGGAAAGAATGGCTGATTCAGGGTCCCATTTTTCCAAGGCAACTACTTTCAAACATGTCAGATTTTAGTTTTCCTATTAACTAAGTATGTTAAGGCGCTCTGGTAGCATAGTGGTTACGAATCGGACTGTGAATCTTAAGGCCAGCAGTTTGAAACTACCAGCTGCTCCGCGGGAGAAAGATGAGGCATTCTGCTCCCGTAAAGATTTACAACCTCAGAAACCCTGTACAGGGTCGCTATGGGTCGGAACCTACTCGAAGGCACTTAACAACAACAAGAAGTATATTAGGTTATTCCTACTCTTTTTCTATAATTGTTGTTGTTGTTGTTATGTGCCGTGGAGTCAGTTCCGACTCAGCAACCCTGTACAGGGTTTCCGAGGCTGTAAATCTACGGGAACAGAAAGCCTCATCTTTCTCCCGCGGAACGGCTGGTAGTTTCGAACTGCTGACCTTGAGGTGCGCAGCCCGATTTGTAACCACTACACTACCAGAGCTCCTTTACCGTGCCCACCTCAATTCGGTTACAACTCATAGCTGCATGGGGTTTCGGAGGAGCAGCTGTTAGGTTTGAACTGCCAACCTTGTGGTTAGCAGTCCAGTGCTTATCCTATTGTACCACCCCATGTCTCTGTTTTCTATAATAACCCCCATATAGACATCATTCAGACTCACAGTGTGGTGCTGTAGGATAAGCACTGGACTGCTAACCACAAGGTTGGCAGTTCAAATTTACCAGCTGCTCTTCAGAAACCCCCTACAGGGTCACTATGAGTCAGAACCTTCTCGACGGCACGTAACTACAATAACAGCAGTTCATCCTTCAACTGCACAGATGATTAAATTTGGGGGCAGTGGTTTAAACGTGCTTCTGCAGATACTCCAGAGAGAACTTCTTGACAACTGTTGTAAATTGACCTCCAAATTGAAAATTCTGTGACAATTAAGAGATGGGAAGCGTCCTCTCCTAGTTGTTGTTTGGTGCCATTGAGTCAGTACCGGCTCATAGCGACCCATGCACAACAGAACGAAACACTGCCCGGTCCTGGGCCAACCTCACAATTGTTGCCATGCTTGAGCCCATTGATGCTGCCACTTTGCCAGTCCATCTCACTGAAGGTCTTCCTCTTTCTCTCTGACCCTCCATCTTACCAAACATGATATCCTTCTCCAGCAACTAGTCCTTCCTGACAGTATGTCTGAAGCATGATAGACAAAGTTTGGGAATAGGAGCTCTGGTAACGTAGTGGTTATGAATTGGGCTTCTTAACCTCAAGGTCACCAGTTCAAAACTACCAGCTGTTCTGTGGGAGAAAGGTGAAGCTTTCTGCTCCCGTAAAGATTTACAGCTTTGGAAACCCTGTACAGGGTTGTTAAGAGTCGGAACCGACTCCACGGCACACCACTACTACCTCTCCTAGTATCCTCTCCTAAAAAAGCAAAACCCATACCAGTTGCCCTTGAGTTGATCCCAACTCATGATTGGCTACCTTATGTGTATCAGAGTAGAACTGTGCCCCACATGGTTTTCAAGACTAGCTTTTTGGTAAGTACGTTGTCATCCCTTTCTTCTGAGGTGCCTGTGGGTGGAGCTGTCAACCTTTTGGTTAGTAGTTGAGCACTTAATGTTTGCACCACCAAGGACCTTACTTAAATCCTACCCTAATACTGGTCTCCACCTCCCGTCTGACAAGTTTGTCATGCTGTGGTGGGTACATGTTGCTGTGTTGCTAGATGCGATGCCACTGGCATGATCGGACTTCAAAATTTTTGTGAAAAAATTCAGTGGTCTTTTAATTCCATTTCCCCATAAAATTTTTGAAGTGCCCTTTTATTTCAAATACCACTCATGGTGGACAGGTTTCAGTG